CTGTGGAGTGTCCAGTCTATGGGAGCTCAGGCAGGCCTTAGCAGTCGAGTCCTCTTTGGATACTTCACTGCCAAGTTCATTCCCACTTTCTCTGCATTAATGTCGTGCTCTCCACTGGCAACAATATCTGAGACCTCCTGGAGTTTCTTGGGTTTCATGACATTGAAATTTATTGCCAAGAGTACCCCCTTACTACTGACCTCAGTTCCTGCCCAATTTTCATCATAAGTTGGACCCCAACTCACCCATCCCCTCTCCCAGGCCACTCTGCCTCAAAAATTTCTCCTACCTGTGATATAGTTCATTCTAAACTGTCCATCCTTCCACTCTAGTCCATCCCTCTGTACCAGTTTTTCTTACCTACTTATGTCTGAGTAAAGTAAAATGATGGTTTTATACTACTCTTCAATCCTGAGCAAGGGGTAGCTTGGAAAGGAAGCCCCATCCCCCATCTCTCAATAGATATATACTCCAGAATAAAAGATTTTGATATGGGAAGGGCACTGTTTTGTCTTTGAAAGTATACATAGCAATATAAGGAGACAGTTTTTGGTTATGTAGAAGGCTGCTCTTGGCAGCTAGTGGGTAGAGGTCAGGGAGGTTGTGACTTATTCCAGTGAAAAGGACAGGACAATCTCCAAAGACTGAGAATAATCTGGTCCCAAATACCAAAAGCACCGAGTTCAAGAAACCTTGTCCTTAAAAGTGAATGCATTAAATATGCATTGCGTCCCCAGGCCTTACTCTCCTTCCTCCACCAACAGCCACCCCACGGCCTTCTGCTGAATTCCTCATTTGTGCTGTGTCTCTCCTGTCCAAGAGAAGCTCTCCTCTACTCCGATATCCCTTAGCTACCAGCCTTCCTCTGTGGCTTTTCTATTAAGGACCGTGTGAATGATGAACGCTGACTGTAGTAGAAACTGTGGTCTTTGATCTGGTCTGCCTAGTATTTGACAGTCTCTTTCCTCTTCTTTGGCATCATTCTAAACCCTTAATCAAACTTCATCACACTCCCTTTGTAGTGTTCGTTGCTTGTAGCCATAGGACACAAGACTGTCTCAGATGATGCTGTCTCTGTTGATTTTGAATTTATAGTCTGCTTCGGTGGGACTCTGACAGTCTCACAAAGAGGGTGATCCTCATCCATCATTGCAGTGAGATTTGATTTCTCAACTTTGAAAGTTGGTAAATTATTGTACACTACGAGATGAAAGGAGTTGGTTGAATTATTTGATTTATCTAATTAACTCAGAGTTGCTTACCAAGTAACCTGGAAACTTCTTTGTGTTACTACAAATAATGTATGGGGGTGAGGAAGAAATTTAGTTTTTCCGAGGTGAAAGTTGAGGGCTGCCTGGAGGAAGAAGCTTGCTGAGAGTTTCTGATGAGAGACTCCCCTCTGCTCCCAGGGCAAACCCTAGTTCATATGCCACCATGACAGGTTGACTAGTCTCCATGGATGCAAGTTTACATTGAAAATAGCAAAACATTTGTCATGAGTGGGCAGATAGCAATTCCTTACTGCCATTTTTCAACATGAAAAATGCATTGGGGGGGGGGAGAATCTCCCAGCGGTGCTCAGAACTTCCCTGAGTCATTCCTGGCACTTCTCGGCCAGAGAATTCGGGTTTTGGGGCTGCCTATATAGAGCTGCTTGGGTCCCGTGGAGGTGTGTGCCATTTGGGTCACGCCAAGAATACTCAGGAGCCTCCAGGGCTACACCCAGTAATGCTGGAGAGACATATGGAGCTGAGGCTCAATCTTGGGTCTCTGTGCGAATGCGTAACACGTGTACCTGACCCTGAGCCATCTCCCCAACTCTGAAAAGTGCATTTTGAACATTGTGTTGTCTACTCAGGGTGTGAGGCTGAGAAAGAGCCTAAGTTTCTGTTTCCCCCCAAAAAACATTCCCTGAGACTGTCCTTGGCCGAAGCTGGAAACCCTGTAGACACCTCTAGCCAGTCCTATGATAAGTAGGATATCCCTGAACACAGCAGGTAGGCATGAACAATTAGCTCACAGACTTGTGACTGCTTCACCGAAACTCTTGGGAAAACTACCAAACATTGCTTATGTAACAATATGCCACTTGGGTCGGGGTCTTTTATCAAGACTCCACTGCGTTGGATGAGACTTGGACCCTAGCTTGAGCTAGCAATAAAGCATGCCTCAGGTTTGGTCTGGTCAATGTGCGATGGAAACTCCCTTTCCGGGACATAATAAGGGTAGAAACCATTCTAGGTTTGAGGAAATGCAAATCAAGTGATTCAGGGCCAAAGCCATAGCCTAGTGGGGTAGGCTGGCTTGCATGTGGCTGGCTGTTTGTGCCCCAAGTCCTGCCAGGAGTGATCCCTGAGCATGGAGCCTGGAGTAAGACCTGAGCATCCCTCTAAAGAACAACAGCAGATATAAAACCAATTCAACTCCAGATATTTTGGTTAGATCAGGAGTTTCTTAAAGAGGGGGAAAATTCCTCTAGGAGTCACTGGTAAAATCCAGGAAGGAGAGATGGAGCACTGTGTATAATGGGGTGGGGTGTGTGTGGGAGAGATTGTTGATCACTTAAAGAATGTATATTTTGGGGCCAGAGCGACAGTACAGCGGGTAGGGCATTTGCCTTGCACGTGGCTGACCTGGGTTCAATCCCCATCATTCCATATGGTTCTCCAAGTACTGCCAGGAATAATTCCTGAGTGCAGAGCCAGGAGTAACCCCTGAGCATTGCTGGGTGTGATCCAAAAAAAGAAAAAAAAAAAAGAATGTAGATTTCCTCACGGAGGAGATGTTGCTGATTTTTCTTCTGTAAAGGGGGTGGTAGGCCAAATAAGTGAGGGAACCTGTGGCTAGATGGGTGCTGAATCTGGTATCTATAGCAACTATGGTAGGTCTGTCTGGACAGGTGGTCTCAGTATGCAGCTGAAATGGACATGGGTTGGAGCCAGGTGGCTTTCCCAGCCTCAAAGAGAAAGACTTCTCTAGAGCTAATTCAGAATACCTCTGAAAATGAACCCATTTTATTTTTTTAAATTGTCCTTTCCTAGCTTTTTTTTAAATTTAATTAAATTTAATTTTTTTTTTTATTTATTGAATCACTGTGGGAAAGGTTACAAAGCTTTCAGGTTTAGGTCTCAGTCATGCAAATATCAAACACATTTCCCTTTACCAATACTTATTTTTTGCCATGAAGAACCCCAATAAAACCCCACCCCTCACCCCTCCCAGTCCCTGTGAGGCAGATGAATTCTAGTTAACACTCTATCTGCTTTGATTAGATTCATTGTTTCAATAAAAGATTCACCACTATTATTTAGAGTTTACCCGCCCCCCCAAATCAGACATGCTGAAAAAGCATTGTGAAGTGATTTGCTTTCTACAGCTGGGTTCAAGAATTAAATGTTGGTTTTGGATTTCTGCTATTTTACTTATTGACCCTGGAAGTATTTCTACTGAAAGTCAGATAGTTAAGAAATTGGTTTCTGTGCTCTGGAGCCGTGGCCGTGCTGGAGAGCCGCTAGTGGGGGGCAACTGGTGGCCTCGGTAGGGCGTGAAGGGCGGACCGAAACGCCCCCCTTCCCATGAGGTTTTAGTCGCCCCCACACCCCCAGCTCATACCTGCTGTCCACAAGGCTCCCATGCGGCTGCCATCCTTCTTTCCAGAGAAGAGAGGGCGAATGGGGCAACACCCTTTCCCCTCTGGCAGACTTGATGGCCTGGATCAACGCATAGTCCGTTCACTTTTCTGCTTCAAGCTGCTGGGTTCTGCATTAAGTCCTTGTGTTTCTGGGGCTGTGGCCGTGCTGGAGAGCCACTCGTGGGGGGCAACTGGTGACCTCGGTAGGGCGTGAAGGACGGACCGGAACGCCCCCCTTCCCATGATGTTTTAGTTGCCCCCACACCCCCGGCTCATGCCTGCTGTTCACAAGGCTCCCATGTGGCCGCCATCTTTCTTTCCAGAGAGGAGAGGGCGAATGGGGCAACACCCTTTCCCCTCTGGGCAGACATGATGGCCTGGATTAACGCATAGTCCATTCACTTTTCTGCTCCAAACTGCTGGGTTCTGCATTAAGTTCTTGTGCTTCTGGGGCTGTGGCCGTGCTGGAGAGCCACTCGTGGGGGGCAACTGGTGACCTCGGTAGGGCGTGAAGGACGGACCGAAACGCCCCCCTTCCCATGAGGTTTTAGTCGCCCCCACACCCCCGGCTCATGCCTGCTGTCCACAAGGCTCCCATGCGGCCGCCATCTTTCTTTCCAGAGAAGAGAGGGCGAATGGGGCAACACCCTTTCCCCTCTGGGCAGACATGATGGCCTGGATTAACGCATAGTCCATTCACTTTTCTGCTCCAAGCTGCTGGGTTCTGCATTAAGTCCTTGTGCTTCTGGGGCTGTGGCCGTGCTGGAGAGCCGCTCATGGGGGGCAACTGGTGACCTCGGTAGGGCGTGAAGGACGGACCGAAACGCCCCCCTTCCCATGAGGTTTTAGTTGCCCCCACACCCCCAGCTCATACCTGCTGTCCACAAGGCTCCCATGTGGCCGCCATCCTTCTTTCCAGAGAAGAGAGGGCGAATGGGGCCACACCCTTTCCCCTTCGGGCAGACATGATGGCCTGGATCAACGCATAGTCCGTTCACTTTTCTGCTCCAAGCTGCTGGGTTCTGCATTAAGTCCTTGTGTTTCTGGGGCTGTGGCCGTGCTCCAAACTTAATTCTGATTTTCAGGGAGAAACGTTGGGTGGTTTACTTCCCATGGATCACTTTGTATATAGAGAGATGTCGCGAGGCCGCGTAAGCAGCTGCGCGGTTTGGAGGAAAAGTCCTAGTTCCCGCATACTTGAACTGTGCTTGTAGAGGCTTCTGGTCACCGGGGTTCCATCTGGGGGAGGCGGGATGCGGTACCTACCCCATCTGGGACTTCCTGATGATCTCGGCTTTTTTTGGAACCTGTTTTTTTTTTCCTTCGGGAGCTGTGGATCCCCGCCCTCCATGTGGTCCTTCTCTTTGGCTGTATCCTTTCCTAGCTTTAAGAGCCAGCCTTATGCTCAGGACAGTCATCCTAAATAGACAGGGAGATTATGTGTGTACAGCCCGGACGATGGTCTTGGAGCCATCACAGTGGACAGGAAAAGCACAGGCCAGGACAGGAAATTCACCCCATTGCACCCCACCCGGCACCCTGCAATCGCCTGCACACAAGGTTACTCCACATTAAATCACATGAAATAAGAGAGGTCACCATTACCCAAAAGAGAAACACCAGTCTTTGCCATGAAGGAGGGTGGTAGCAGAAGGTCAAATCTGGGTGCTTCACTTTTATGGCCCAGAAAATGGGAAGTTATTCTGTGACTCTGACCTTGGACCTTACCGTGATGCAGGAATTCCTGAGATATTTTGCTCATCATTATTCCATCTGCTTCTCATCTCAGTCACCTAGCTTGAGAAGTGGGTCCAGTATTATGACTTGCTTTGAGTCCAGAAGAATGAGAAGTTGTAAAGGTTATGCAGCCTCCTTAAGAGATATAGTACTCAAGGCATCATTAACTCACCAGAGATGCATGACTCACAAATAATCAAGTGTTTCCCCCAGGACAGCTGAGATCTCATACAATTTGTTCTTTATCCCTGTATATTCTTTTGCCAGATTAAAAGTTCCAATTTTTTTTACTCAGACTCTATAGTTACTGGAATGTTGGCCTTGAATAGCCAAGTAGACCTTATTCTAGAATGTCTTCAGTCAGTGTAGGTTATTTGGCTGTGTGACCATTTGTATTTGGAGCTGAAGAGGGAGAGAAACAATAATAAATGTGATATAAAATGTATAGAAAAGGGGCCGGAGAAAGAGTTTAGTGGGTAAAGTACTTGCCTTGCACATTGCTAATCCACAATTTGATCCCAGGCAACCCACATGGTCCCTCAAGCACCACTAGGAATGATCTTTGAGCTCAGAGACAGGAGTAAGTCTTGAGTACCCCAGGATGTATGTCCTGCCCTCTCCAAAAAATGTGTAGAGAAGATGAAGTCATGCCTTTTGAGATGTCACTTGTAGTGCTGATGCTGTGTTATAAGAAAGCAGAAAAAAGACAATTCCTATGTGGAATATCATCATTAAGGCAAATGAAGTGGCAAAAACAACAAAACTAACTCACAGGGACAACTATGTTGATTACTGGAGGGGAGGAAGGATGGGGAGGAGTGGTTAGAGTGAATAAATAGCAAGGAATTTTGGTGGTGGGTGAGGTGAGTCTATACACATAGAGATATGAAACTGACCCCCTGAATTTCCATACTGCTGTGAACCAGTGGCACCCAAATAGAAAAGAAATGTAAATTAAATGTAGCCTTTGCCCTTAAGTCTCTAATCATCCACTAGACCCAGGTCTCTTAAACTTTTCCACTAGTGACCCCTTTTATTATTTTATTTTATTTATATTAATTTCCAAGATGGGGAAATAAAAATAGGACATGTTTAGGGCAGTTTGGTCGCAGACTATTTACTTTTATTTTCAGTTTTTATTGTGTCATCATGAGGCACAGTTTACAAAGTTGATCTTGGTCCCATTTCAATCATAAAGTGTTCTGACACCCGTCCCTCCACCAGTGTACATTTACCACCACCAATGTCCCCATTTTCCCTCCCATCACCCTCCCTCCAGCCTGTCTCTGTCTCTTTGTCTCTGTCTTTCTCTCTGTACTCTGGGACATTATGGCTTGCAGTATAGGTACTGATTGGTTATCATGTTTACTCCTTTACCTGTTTTCAGCATGCAGTTCTTATTCAGAATTATCCTTTCTAACTATCTTTGTCATGGTGGTCCCATCTCTATCCCATCTGCCTTCTCCACAAGCCTTTGAGGTAGGTTTTCAAGCATAAACCAATCCTCCTGGCCCTTGTTTTGACTGTCCTTGTAGTGACCCCTTTTCTCCTAAGACTATAACCTGGGTGAACGCTGGCTGGCTGGCTGGCAGGAATATCTTAGATTGATTTTATATTTAATTGTGAGTGAATTTTTGGTTATTGCATGTTCAAAAACCTTCTACTACTGTCCACATTGAGTCACAGGAAAATCCTGCACAGCACTGTGGTGGCCTGAGTAATTCCTGGCACTATAGGCTCAAAAAACAACGTATCAGAGCTGTCCTGTCTCTGTTATATAAAAAGCACAGAGGGCTGGGGGAATAGTTCAGGGCTCAGGGATGTGTGCTTCACATGCTCAAGGACCCGAGTTCAATCCCTAGCACCACATTAACCCTCAAGCAATATTGCAAAGTCAGGCCCAAGCATCAAATCTATCAGCCTGCATGGCAGAGTATGTCTGGGTGAGGCTTTGGGCCTTTAGAGCACTACTTGGGATCCCCTTCCTCCCCAAATCACCTCTTTGGCAAGGGAAATACAGGGTTCATCCCTGTATGAAAGGGAAAAATGTGCAGATGGTTTAGTAGTTGCACATCCCTTGGTAGACACTTATTTATGTTCTGGCATTACCATTTAGGAAATGCGGTCTTGACTTCATTTGGGAAACTTGTGGTCTTGACTGCCCTGGTTGTTTTAAAAAGTCTTTTGAAGCTCTCACGGAGCTTCAGATCCCTTCAAGAGGCAGGAGTCTGTTGTCACTCTTGTATCTGAATGATTCATCTCGTGATAATAAGGTACTTTCCCATTCCTGGGCAGAAGGATCCAGATTCCTCTTTCAAGGCCTACAACCTAGTCAAATGAAAGAAATATGCCAAACAAAGGTGAGTGAGTTTATCACACGTATTACAGCACTGACTTTATTATCTGTTGTCAGATCTCATTCCTCAGATCTACAGAATACACAAGTAGACGAGGTTTACCTAAGTGGTCATACTCAAGTAGATGAGATGAAATACAAGCCAAATGAGATACTTGGGTAATTGCAGGGTACAACATTATCAGGTAGATGAAATTTACCCTTTGCTTGAACTTGACCTTCTGAATTCTTGTTTAATTGTCTGTATCATCCATGGAAACCCTCACCTGGATACAGCAAAAGTCACACCTTGGGTTGAAGAGGGCTGTGAGAAGCCTGTGAGGGAAGCTTGGGGTTGCTTGGGGTCTCTGGACTCACGTGAGTGCTGACCTAGGAGACCATGGCCATCTGGAATGAGTCAGGCGTGCCATTTAAGAGAGGCTTGCTCTGAGGAAAGTTGTAACTTGCTATAGCTACTTTAGGTTAAGACACAGCTTGTGAGTTCTCCCCTCTAGGGTCTTTGGCTCTGCTTCCACATCTCTGTCCTGACTGGCTGGCTGGTGACTTCCTCCTCATTGCTAGGCTGAATTCTGAATGAATATCCTTTGTCTGGAGCAATTAGGAATTATACCATAACTGGAAAGATTCATAATCATTGGGGGTTAAAGACTCCTTTGATCAGCTAATGAAAATGCACATGTGCACACAAGTTTGCACATTTTAGGATCTGCTTAGGACTCTATGGAGTCTATTTACAAATTCTTAAATTAATCGTCCATTCACTATAGATGCTGGGTAGCAGTATATTTGCATAAAAATAATAGTTAATGTGGTCATACAACAAGTTGGAATTATGTCCTTTAGGACAGGAATTATAATATGCTGGTCTGGTACAGTCCCATATAGTATCATGTATCCTGGGTGGTTTTCCAGTTGGTCTAATGATTCCTCGCCAAAATACTTCATTTTTAGGCGTATTTAGAAAATGAGGTGAGAAAAAGTGTGTGAGGGATATGGTACAGACTCAACATCCAAAAATGCTCAGTTCCATACATAGGTAAATGATTTAATAGTCAGTAAATGATTTAGCAGCTGGTCGCCAATTCCAGAATAAATCTTTTTATAGGCAAGAAATCTGTCTCATTTTCATTTTGAAGATCCAGCCTAAAGTTGATGTAATACTTTGAGCTGTTTCATTTTACTTAACTGTATTTTTACTTATATTCTAAGGATTCTTTCAGTTTGAAAAATCAATCATCCATGCTGAGTGAAGTTAGTCAGAAGGAGAAGGACAGGCACAGAATAATCTCCTTCATATGTGGGATATAAAGAAAAAAGAAACATAGTAAGGAAATAAATGCCCAAAGACAATAGAAACCAAGAACTTTTTTTTTTTTGGCAGAACACTCACCACAGGGGGACATGGAGTGGGGGAGGGGCAGGCACTGGAACAAAGATGGAGTGAAACAAATACTTTGGTGAAGGACATGGTGCTGGAACATGTTAGACATGAAACCCAACCATTAACAGTATTGTAAACCACAGTGCCTAAAATTAAATTAAATTTTAAAAAAACCAACTCTCTGCAATGTTCTTGTCCTCTGCAGTAGACACTGGTCATTGTTCCCAGTATTCATTTTTCCCATCCTTCACTGACCCTAGATGTTGCTAGACCTAGGATAGAGTAAAAACCTCTCCCAGCCGCCTTTGCTCCTGGGTATGGCTATCTAAGTAAATTCTAGTGAATGGGATGGCACTGATTTGTATAATAGGAATTTTAATTAAACAGCGGAGGGGAAAGAGGGCTTTTCCCTTCTTTGTTCCTTTTTCTCCAGCCTGTTGGCGAGGAAGACATAAGGAAGAGCCATTCTGGACCAGAAGGTCCATCTCAGTTAAGTTTAACAGACCAAAGGGTTGTGAGAACCCGAGTCTCTGGTCACTGGTTTCTGAACTGTTCTGATTTCTCAAGACCACTCCCACCCCTCAGAGAGATACAGGATGCAGAGGACTTGGCCTCGAGATGTGTAGAGCCCTGAGGTCAGCACACAGGCATCTGTGCATGTGAATACTTAGGCTCCCAGAGGCAACTAAGTACAGACTCCTTAGGCATCTGCACCCCAGAAGAGCAACTCAGAAATCGCCCTTTCCCTGGCTGTGGAAACTCAGCAACACATTTGGTGTTAGAGACACAGCATCTAGCTGCAAATGGGCTGTGCCAGGTTCTGTGAGCATCACGGGTACCAATATCCAAACTTTCACAAGGAAAGCAGATAGTCAAGACACAGGGTTTAGAGCTAAGGCAGAGGATTTAGTAAAATAAGATCTCAACTCTCAATTAATTGAGAGGAAGAACCTTACTGATATTCTAGATCAACGTGATATTCTAGATGAACATTCAAACCCCAGAGATGGGAATGGGAATCCTAAACGGTCTT